TTCTTTTTTTATCAAATTACTGCATGTCAAAAGCTTTGTGATCTGTATCGTGACAAACCAGCAGAAGCTGTCAGTTTCTTTAGAAATTTTCTTCACAAATTGTGCAATGATTTCATAAGTAAAATAAAAGACGGTAGATACAAATCTGCGCACAAAAGATAAAGAAATAAAAATAAAAAAAAATGTTGCATATTACAAATGCTATCACTTAATGTCAATTTGGCTAATACGAACCTTTAACTATTTTGCACTTATAATTACTGTGTAATACATGTGTGTACAGCTGTAAATATTCTGAATTTCTTGTTGGGGGAAACTAACTGAGAGATTTTAGCTGGATACTTGATAACCGGTCAGGAAGGGATCACAGCTTAGCAAAGATTGATTACTGATGAAATGTGCAGTACAGCATGCCAAATCTGTGTCAAGGGAGGCAATCTATTTTGTATACAAACTTCGCAGAAAGAACACTTATTTTTGGAATGCATTCTAAAGTACTTGCCATGCGTCATATCAGTATTTATGAGTGTGAAAAGGTACTTTTGTAAGTTATGTGTGAAGTGTGTGGGTGGGTGGCAGAGGAAGCTTTGTGGGAGCTGTACAATGTAGAGGAATGAACACAACATCTACTGATTCAATACTAGTGTTGCCAGGCAGTCATAGCTCATACACGCCACTTCAAACAAGACTTCAAACATGACTAATAAATAGAGTAAGAATATCTGAAATTTCTATATAACATAGTTAATAATGAAGGTAGACAAAAACAATATATATATATTTATTTTCAAAGATCATAAACATTAATCTATCCTGAACACCTACATCTTCCATTTGCTTTACCGTCCTGAACAACAATTTTTATGCCAGTATAATATTAGATGCTCACACAAAATCATCAAATTAAGGCCAGAAGATACTTGGATATAACTAATGTAAACATCTAATTCAAGCCAGTAGATAGTCAAATATAAGTTGCTAAAACAAAAACCTCTAATTTAGGCCAGTAAGTAGATACTTAAATTATATGAGGTGTTCAAACAAAAACCTCTAATTTAGGCCAGTAAGTATATACTTAAATATGAGGTGCTCAAACAGAACCAGAAAACAGAAAGATTTCACAGATATTAAATGATCACTTCTTTGTTGACTTGTGTGATGTATCTAAATTCATACTAGTTTACATGGCACAAGCTACTTCCCACTGTCAAGATTTAAATAATTAGGATTATACCTTTTTCTATAAATATAATGTAATTTAATTTGTTTTATGACACTGTGAATTTCTGTCTTTCTTAAAATATAATACATTAATGGGGTATTTCAAATATGACTGATTTGTCATTGATGACCAATGAGGAAGGATGTGTATGTAAACCCTAAACTATTTTGACTTTTTAAAATACAAATAAAAATGGTATTATTTTTATTGGGGGTAAAAAGGAGGAAATAAAAAGTGAAAAGGGATTAAAAAATTGCACCCTTAAAATTAGAAACTTTTAAATTCTGAATGTTTTAAGATATAATAAAACCATTGGAAAAATAGGGAAAAGGGGAAAACCTCTGAAAAGAGGAAGAATCACATCCCTGTCAAATCTCTTTTCATATCAATTTATGTTTTTCAGTCTGAAATAATGTATGTTACATAAACAGCTAATTAATCTGTAAAAAAGTGTTAGGTGTCAATAAAGAAAACTATATTTGTGTTTTGTTAGCATCATGAAAAACTTGAAATATGATTCTGGCTGTGTCTGATACGGCCATTTTAGCTAGATTTAAAACAACAAATAAAAAGTGGAAAGAAAATCAATACAAAATACTAGTACCAAAATAAATCAAGAAAACTGACAGCTTCTATTTACCTGAAGCTGTAACATTTGTTTGAATCTGGGCGGAGGAGTATCATCTTTATTATGTCAAACAGTCATCATTATATTAGTTGGTCCAAGCTAGTACATTTACTCCAATGTGATATTCTATCTAATTTTACTGTCACACAGCTCTGAAGTGTTAGCAATCACACATGCCACTGATGTGAAATGTCAAATTGACAAAAAGCATGGAAAGACCAGAGTTCAAATTACATATTTGACCACAGGAATTAGGATGGTGAAAGCCTTAATATGATAATATATTGTAATGCTTTCACTAATCATAATTAATTATTTCAATAAAATGTTTATACTTTAAAAGAAGTTACTTTTATCAGGACCAATACAAAGCAAGTACTTATATCAAAATAAATAAATGTGTCATATAAAAGGAATGCTTTTATTTTGCTATCCAAGTTTCAGATGCTGTATTCATATAGCAATACAAGAGAAATAACTCTTGAAGACTTGTAGCACAACACCACCAAAGCATGGTTGTGCTACAATATTTTCTGTTACGGTATTACCAGCAGGCTCAGTGAATACCAGTATGTAATTAATGTACTTCCGCCTACATCAGGGGTAGGTTAATCATGGACTTGATTTCTGGTACAGTGTGTGTGAGGTTAATTATAAAATAACACAATACCTTGCTGTAAACGGGACAATCAAAGACATACAAATTTCATAAATCATAACAGCAGTGTTCAAACTGAACAGTAGACCCAGACAATACCATGAAAATACTGTAGGTCTTTAGAATGGAAAGTTACTTACTTTAGAGATCCTATTGCCAATGAACTTATTTCCTTTTAATTCAAAGATAAACATAGTAGTGAGGCCAGAAAAAAGGGTTAAATAAAATGTGTATCTTTCGTTATTATTACATATTTCTATATTTTAATCTTAAGAAGAACTATATATTTAAGCTTAATTTTCTTGTTCACTATCTAGTCTATCAAAATTTCAGAAGGTCTATAAGAAATCTATTTCACATAAATCTATTGTAGTATGGTATGTATTTATTCGAAATTCAAAGGCTGTATCAGTTATGTTTTTACAATTAATTAATTGAACACTCTTATGTATTTTCATTAATATTGAGAGCACATTGTTTTTGTTAAGTTTCACTCACATTGTAGATAAAGAACTGAGCTGTAAACATAACATGCTATCACGGAATTAGATTAAAGGATTATAAGTACTCTATTGAGTACAAGTGTATGTTTTTTTTTTTTTGTATTTTAAATTTTATGTACATTTTGCATAAGATGTCAGAATATGTTTGTATCAGCTGTTAGTTTGACTTTGTTAATTGCCAAATTGTTCAAGATTGTCTCCTAAAATTGTTTATTTTATTCTAAGTTTGCTTCAAAAATTGTCCTGGGCTTCTTTTAACAATATTATGTATTCACAAGAAACTTTTTGCATATATGTACAGAGTTCAGTTTCACATTTAATGAAATACATAAAAGTCACAAACAAATGCCAAATTTTCTTGTTCAATATCTAGTCTATCAAAATGTCAGTAGGTCTATAAGAAATCTATTTCACATGAACCTATTGTAGTAAGGTATGTATTAATTTTAAATTCCAAGACTATCAGTTTTGTACAGAGTTAAATTCATACATAAAAGCCACAAATAAATGCCCAATCAAAGTGAGCAATAAAGATGTATAAGCTATATTTATACTGTAGATTCTATATCTGGATAATATTTATGTAACTTAAAACCCTGTGACTGTATTAGCTTGATTAAAAAAATATTTTTACTGCATAAATAGGTCAAATATACCCCTCTGTGTGGGACTGTCCCTTTGAATACTTATCTCTATGAAGGCATTGGACCATGTATGGTCCACAATTTTATTATTCTGGTCTGACATACCCTCCCCCCTTCAACAGGTTAACCCCCCCCCCCCTACACACACATTTAGGAGACAATAATCCTTCTTAAAGGGAAATGCCCAATTTTAAAACCAAAAAGATGCAAACAATAGTACAAATAACATTTTATAACACCTTTTAATACAAAGAGGTGTGAAAATCAGTCAAACCTGGCCTTAACCAGGCTAATTAAACCTCTGATTATCTTTATAGACCCTGGCTGTTGAGTGAACAGGTCAGGATAAGTATGTATGGCCTTATAAGATTGTATGTATTTACTTTATTTATGCCATCTTTGTTACATACATTTTGTACTTAACCAATAAGCTGTAACTTTTTGCTTACAGAATAAAATAAACTGTAAACTGAGTGAACTTTTCAAAAGAAACTGTGTTAATTTTTTTTTAGACCTGCCATGGTAGCCATGATCGCTAACGCGCAGTCATTGTACTACTGTGTGCTATCAAGCGTGAGCTTCAGACCACTCACTCTCCCAAGAATTTCGGTATGATCCCCAGTGGTGGTGGAAAAAAGAGAGTGATGTCTGATAGGGTTAGTTATTATCCCTCCGATGGCACGGTCAGGTTTTCCCCCCGTGGGTTTTCCTCCACCACGAAAACACCATTTGTTCCCTTAGCGGCATCATAATAAAAGCTCTACAGAGCGTTTGTTGTTGACAATTGTACACGACGTTAAATAAAGATTATTATTTATTTATTTATTATTATTCACCACATCATGGAACTGAGGAAATAAATGCTATTTTTCTTCACATACTTTTATCCCTCTCCAAAAAGAGTTTGCAGAGGGACAAATCCATTTAAGGAGGGTCCAGAGGTTGACAAATGTATGAATGGGCTATTTTTTAACATTATTGGGTCCTGTATCGTAATATGGCGGGAAAAATCAGGTATATACATCTCGGAATAGGTATACTATTTTCAGATACCAATATGACATGATCATTTTATACTTCTCTGTTGGGTACCCCAATGATTGGCTAACCATATGGTTATTTAAGTGAGTTTTTAAAATGTCAATAAACAATTTGTACACGTGTCAGTCCAGTATAAACAAAACATTTAATTCTCTAATCTCTTACCCCCACCAAACGTGGCTCCACTGGCTTCAGGCATCAGAGGCAGGATGCCGTATGTTTATATTTACAGGGCTGTCTGCCGTATGGAGAATCTGAGCATGGCATGGCGGCCCATGAATTCAGTATAATAAAAGCTACTTACCTCCATGTTTTAACGCCGGACCAGCTTCGATGGGAATGACAAGAAGTGGGAAAATACCACTTAGTCCGACAAGTATAGAAGCTAAAATCGCATAAATCCAAGTATCCAACCCTTCAGAACCAAACATATCGTCTGCTAAAATTGCCACGTCTATGTCTCGACTACCTCGTCCCCCGCTTTTATGAGATGATGTCTTTGCCCGGTGTATTTCTCCATCTGCCAGACTTATCAGCAGCCCATAGATAACGACCCCCAACATCAGCCGTCCACCGATAGCCATTGGTGACAGTTAGATTGAAGATAACATGTAAACTTTGGACAAAGTTGATACTTCAGACAGGAAGGTGTTTTCCGACCTTGAACCCTGATGAAGTAAAGCTGGCGTAAGTTACCTATTTATCGTAGTTTCGTATTCTCGCACTGTGTCTAGTTTCACTTCATCGTTCTATGTATATTTATGCTTCAGAACAAGAGCAAAATCTGAAAAAGAACGATAAATTGCAAAATAATGAATATAATAATGAGTCAAACTAACAAATTCTTTTAACGACAATACAGGTGAACTTTGACATTTGCATAGTCAACAATCGCGGGAAACGGCTTGAATCAGCATCAGCAGCCGCTTGCGGCAAATCATAGTAAACGAAACCGCATGCCGAGGACGGCAGGCGAACAGTTAAGCAGAGAACTACGATGGATTAAGGTGTTTCTGACAAGGTGTAACCTTTCTTATGACTGAGGAAAATGGACGGATTTCGTGCAACAATATTCAACGTTGCTCAGGATGCCAGCCAGGTGGCCAGCGCATCTACCCAGCTTAAGGATCGGGAGTACATCGTGCCGGTGGGTACTAAGTAGTAATGTTGGTCGGGTGTGGCTATGTTCAGGTGACGTGGGAGGGGCCTTAGTCACAGGAGGGAACTGTCTACTTGTAGGCAATACTCTGACTGGTGGACAAAAATTTATATTTTATGAACACAAAGATTTGATAAATATATTAACTATTTATAATATATATCATATATTGTACTATGTCCTAGTTCTTTTATTTTGGAAACATGAAAGAAGATTTTTTGTGGTATGCAATTTTGTAAAACAAAGTTTGGTATTTCTTTTTGATACATGTATTACTGTACATGGTGTTTAGATATTTGAAATACCCTCAATGGATTCAATTAAAAGGCTTGCCATGTGAGTGATAAAGTTTTACATCATATTTTAGTATCAGCAATATTATGTACTGAAGATGAATACAAATAATATAAAACAGACTACTCTCATCGTTTTTTTCTTTATACAGATCTGGAAATTGGAAGGTAAAAAAACATGAAATTGTCAAAAAATGAAAACAGGCATTTTTTCCTAGTACATGTATATTATCAAATGTAATTCGTATCAATGGAAATAGCTAGTTTTCCGTTTTAAAGCACTTTTTTTTTTTAAAACTAATTTCATTATATATATATATATATATTAACATATATCGGTCAAAGAAATTATGTAGACGGTAAACATATATTATCATATATATATATAAATGGATAAGATAACAGGCTAGGCCTATATCAATCTTCTCCATGATGGTGTTAGTAAGACATTATATATATTATATGTAATTAATAAGCTATTTATATTATTGTATTATACTCATACACTCAATCATACAATTGCCAACTTACACTCTTTACACGCTCATGTCAATACTCATTCACTTTATAATAATATTATCTAAATTGACGAGCAACTATCAACAATTATGTTGGAGTTAAGTTAAATACAGAAAATAAGTCATTTAATTATCTATACATGCAGAAAAGCATATATAATAGTTTGATAATATTTAAACATTTAATTACATCGTCCTAACCATTTAAATGCAATAATATACTTTTCAACATTAGACAATATAAACATATTTATTTCAGTAGGTAAGTCAGTAACTCCAGATGTCAAAAGATGGACATTTAAATAGCCAACTCTGGTATAGATATCATGAATTAGATTTCTGGAATTAGAGTAATTTGGACAAAAGAAGAAGAAGTGTTCAGAATTTTCAATTGGATGGCCGCATGAACAGGAAGAATCAGGAGATAGATGGTCAGCAAATTTGTCATAATTCAAGTCACTAGCATTATTTCTAAGTTTTTAGGTACTTCTTGCCATTTACTTATTAAATGACAATTGCCAGTTGTTTATCAGTGTGTAATTAGCCAAGTTACATTTTAGATAGTCTGATAATTGGCAGACACCTATCCAAGTTAAGATATTTACCATCCTCCTGATCCAATTTATTTTTTGAATTAGCTGCTGTACCAGCAGGTTTACTACACTAAGCAGTGTGTTATAGAGTGCATTTCATTATATGTCTAATTATAGGACACATCACTGATTGTATCTTCGTGATTGAACCCTGTGTCTGCAGTAAGTGTGATGATACAATACATTAAAAAGGCATTCGAAAAAGGAATCAAAGCTGAAGAAATGGTAGTTTTGAGGACATATTGCTGATTGAATTTTTGCGGAGAACAAGTGAAGGTGAACAATGAGCCATTAGCTGTGGATAGCTAAATTACTGTACATCTGTTGTTTTGTAGCCATCTTAATTGACATTGATTTTCATGTTCTGTCAGCAGCATTAAGCCCCATATCTCTCTGCAGCCATCAGCCAGAGAACTATCGCACTCAATTTGACAGTGCAACAAAATAAATCTTGCTTTTCACAGATAAAAAAGGAAGACTATAAAAAAAACATCACTAAAACAATGTTTAGATTATCTTCCTTTCCTTTAACCTGAGAACATAAAAAATAGCAATGAAACATTGATTTTTAATTCCTCTCTGTTATCTTTGATAACAAACTGCTTGCTTTTTCTGACATTTAATATCTTAGTTGTCTAATTTTACGGTAAACTTAAAGTCTGACAATGTATTTTCATTCATTATTAATAACTTGAGGTATTTTAATTAGCTGACAAGCTTTCATTATGAGGTATCTTCGGTGATTTGAGGTATCTTGTCTGACAAGCTTTCATTATGAGGTATCTTCGGTGATTTGAGGTATCTTGTCCGACAAGCTTTCATTATGAGGTATCTTCAGTGATTTGAGGTATCTTGTCTGACAAGTTTTCATTGTGAGTTATCTATGGTGACTAGAAGTATCTTTGGTGACTTAAGCTTGAGGTCATTTGACTTACAAGCTGTCAGTGTGAGGTATTGTTGGTGACTTGCATTGAGGTATCATTGGTGACTTAATGTGTCTTTGGTGACAAGCTGTCAGAGTGAGGTGTCTTTTGAGGTATTGTTGGTGACTTGAGGTATCATTGGTGACTTAATGTGACAAGCTTTCAGTGTGGGGTATGTATAGGCTATTGCAGGTCGTGTACAGGAGTGATGTTTCAGGTCAGGTGCTGTCAAGTTGTTATAATACAAGTTTAAGAACTATGTTTCCAGTTTGATCTCTGCAAATGTAATCTGATAGAGATTACTAAGGGGCAAATCACTAATTAATTTTCATGATGGAGTTAAATTATCCCTGATTATTCATTCAGGAGATTACAGCAGTCGGGAGATTACAGTAGTCCTAAGATTACAACAGTCCGGAGATAACAGCAGAAGGGATATTACAGCAGTCGGGAGATTACAGTAGTCGGGAGAATACAGTAGCCAGGAGATTACAGTAGTTGGGAGATTACAGTAATCGGTAGATTACAGAAGTCGGGAAATTACAGCAGTTGGGAGATTGCAGTATTCAAGAGATTACAGTAGTCCAGAGATGGCAGAAGTCGGGAGATTACAGCAGTCCGGACATAACAGTAGTTCGAAGATTACAGCAGTCTGAAGATTACAGTAATCGGGAGATTACAGCAGTCGGGAGATAACAGTAGTCCGGAGATTACAACAGTGCAGAGATTTACACAGTAGTCCAGAGAATACAGTAGTCAGGAGGTTACAACAGTCAGGTTGTTACAGCAGCTGGAATGTTGTTATTGTTTAGCATACTTTGTTATTAGTGACCAATTATTTTTGAATGCCCTGTTGTAGATTTTCTACACTGTATTTGACATTGACCTCATGCTTGTAAGTTATTTTGAAGATTTTATTCTGACTCCTACAGTATAGAGTATGAGGTGTAATCAAACAAATTTTGGTTGCAATTGTCTATCTAATGTTCTTCAGTGCTATAAACAGATTTTGTATGTAAATATAGAAAATAAATGGGTGGTATCATCAAATTTAGACCTATTTTGAAGAGATTAGCTTTATATGATTTTTACTTTTGTGCTACTGCTAGTCTTACTGTCCTGGGATCTGGTCATTTAGTCATCATAAAGTTACTGCTGCTTTGTTTTACAACTCAGTATTATCTTGGTTTCATTACAAATATGGAAAGACACTGAGTAAATTATTTCTGGTCGCAAGTTGAAGTTTCAGGCATATCTTCTGTTTTGTCAGCTTCTGTGACCACATTCTATAAAGGGAATAATTTGTCGTTAAGTCACAATTCAAGTTAGTCTAGATTAGCTGATGTGGCAGTGTAATGGATATTCTGAGTTTTATAGCTAAAAGATAGATCACACAATTTTACAGAGATACAGTGTTAGGGTGTGCAATATAGCTACAATTACAGGGAGATGCTACAGTAGATAGTGATCCTATAATAGCACATCTTTATGTACATGTAAGTGTACGATGAGTGGTGTTGACAACAGCGAGCCTATTTTCTGTGTGTGATTCCCTAGGTATTCCTGTGTAATGTTGGTAATGTCTGTCCCAACTTTGGTATGTATACTGTTAATGTTATACGTGTCGGCCATCAGAAAGAAGGTGTGGACTCTTACTCTCCCGCTCCGCTCCAAGTCTCCTGTACTTACGCTCTAGATCTGTGTACCAGCTCACAGACATGTTCACAGTGTTTACAGCAACTAAGGACAAAAATGTTCCACAAAGAAATTATCTTATCCATTGTGCATTTGTTTACTTTTGCATTTGATACCAAAACTGTTTAAGGCAAACTCTGTTACCAATTAACTTTTTTTTAATTAGAAAATATTTATTTGTGATCTCGATGCCTTATTTACCAGTGTGTATCGTGCCTGTAACTTCTGTAGGCGTAAATGTTTAAATTTGTCTGTTTCTTAGTCACTGAGAAAACAGAGAAATTTCCTCCCCACCAGAAACACAGCCTCTGCCTCACCCCAGGGGCTTACGTAACCATGGTAATGGGTGTATTGCATGTGATGTAACCATTGGCATCATGAGTCTTCATTCCAGCCAATCTAGCGCTCTCCATTCTCTCAGAGACTCCAGTTTCTGTGAGATATGTCTCTTCAGTATCAAAGATATTGCCTCTTTCTTAGACATAGCTGAATCTTTTGTCGATTGACAGCTTATTTATGGGATAACAAGCAGAATAGTTTCCTTTCCTTTGGCCATACAAAACTGTGAGCCTGTTACGATGAGTGAGAGTCAGTTTTTGTGGCCTCTACTTAATGGTAGTAAAACATGCACATCTGGATTTCATATAGAGCACACCCTTATCATCTAAGATACTTATTTAAATATTCTTAATTCCAACATTTCTGTCAATTATTTCATATCTAGGTGTTTTCTCTGTAATTCATATTCACTATTTCAAGAGGGGAATTCATAATATAAATAGTATTTCTATTTTATCATTTCATTTGATATTTGGGGGAAAATAATCCTTTGAGTTTCCCGTTTTTGTAAATTGAAAGTATTCAAAAAACAAATGCATGTATAGAAGGACTGGGTATTCACAAACAGGGAAGCACCTGTGTTATAGGTACATGAATGAAACAGACTGACAAATACTGAAACAACGA